TCTTCTGTTATCTCCATTCTGGTATTGTGCTCATCACTATGTTTTTATTTTAGTTTTTATATTATTCAGTTCTGTAATCTTCATTTGATTTTTTTTTATAACTTGTATTTCTTTGCTGAGATTTTCTATTTATTCACTAGTTTCAAGAAAGCTTGAAATTGCTTGTTGCAGCATTTTCTTTTGTTGGCAGTTGCTTTAAAATCCTTGCCAGATAATGTCAACCTGGAGTTCATCTCGATTGAAATTGGTTGATTTTCTGCTCTCATCAAAATCATTGCCTTTTTGGTATCCAGATGACAGGTGATATTTGGTTGAATGCTAAATGTTTTCTCTGTGATGTTAGGAGATTCTGGGTCTTATTTAAACCTGTTATTTTAACAGGCAAACACCCCATTAATGTTTAGCATGTTTTTCTTGGACTATTTTATATACTGTGGTTGTGATGACAATTTAATTTTCAGTATGGTTATGGTATTATTTTGATCCATTTTGTTGATATATTATCACTACTGCTCCCACTGTTTTCTGCTGGTGCTTCCTGAAGGAGTGGAGGCAATTTTTTTTTTCCAGTCCTGGCTGCCACATGTCTCTTGGTAGAGGAGAAGTGTGGTGAGAACCCTATACAAGTACCCCCCCCGGCTGTCCAGGTGCTCTGGGCAGATAGAGAAATCAGACTTTCGGGGCAAAGAAGTTTGTTGTACTGGGCCAGTTGCTATATCTAGATCTCTTGGAGGTCCTGCTCGCTTTTCTAGGTTATCTCTGATTGAAAAAGGAGGGGTTTGAGCCAGCAGTGACAAAGAGGCTTTTCAGATATAGCTGCTTGCAATTGCTGTTTTTTTCTCCCTGGTTTCCTCAAACCAGCTTGGTGCCTTTTGACAGAAAACTCCTTTTCTCAGGAGGTGAGCTCCTCTTCTGCAGGATCTCAGGCCTGGAGTAGGAGAGTACTTCCCCTTGTCACTTATGATTGGTATACCTCCCAATTAATCCCCAGGCTGGCATTGTCTGGCTTACCTGGTGTGTTCAGGGGGGCTCCTATTTGATCCAGAAAAAGAATGATCGATCCTAACTAGGTCAGCAGGCAAAGACTACCAGGTCTATGTCACCTTTCTCTGTTGGTTGGGAATTGTAAGACACCCTGCTGCTATTGTTCCTCCTGTCCCAGAGTTCTAAACCAGCCAGCTCTCTTTTTCACCACCTTTCATCATTCTCTTTTTCTTGCCTCGTGTACCATTTTCAGAGTTTATAGTTGTGTTTAGTAGAAGGAACAGGAAAAAATGGGTTTATGCTCTATTTTTCTGGGCCAGAAGTTTGTATTTGCTTGTTTCTCCTCATTAGACTATAAAATTCTTGAGGTCCAGGAGAGTTTTACTTTTTTCTATAATCTAAATTGAACATATATATATATTCAGTGAATGTTTTATGAATAAAGTTAGTCCAACTGGATCTGAAATACTCCATAATGGCATGAACAGAATGTGATTTAAAAAAACTATCTTGGAGTGAGCACATTTATTTTTACTTTAGACTTTCCATATGTGGATCAGACATGTAATGATCCTTCTATTTGTTGTGGAAAAAGCCCTGAAAAAAGAAGAAAAAAACAGAAATTACATGTTTTATTTCTACATTTCCATATATCCACCTGGACTTGCAAAAGTACCCTAGTTGGTAGATTATATAATTAGTGATTTTCAGAGCTTTTTTCAATGTGTAACGCAAAACCCCTTCTTTTACATTTAAAAATATCTAAGATTTTCATCATTAGTTTGAACAGTTGCAAAGATGTAATGGCTTATATATAGTAAGTGTTACTATTTAAAAATAAGATATTTATATGACTTTTTAAAATGTATTCAGTAGAATGAAAATACCATAATAATATGTTAACAGGTCAAAAGCTTACCTCTTCTCTTTTTCCTCTTAAATTTGTAGCTCCATTCCATTTTTCACCGCAGCAACATGTCATAATGTATTATATTTTCATGTAATCTATTAGCATCACATCCTAATGTGTTAGCATCACATCCTAATGTATTACATTTTTATGCTTAGAAGTTATTTTTCATGATCACTAGGAATAAAGTGCATATTCAATTTGTTTGTAGTTTATGTCTATATGTATATGTACATATGAACATCTGTGTGTGCATTGTGTAAACAGATATGTATTTAAATATACTTGCTACAGTCATGAATCATACATATTTTAAACAATTATAAATATTATTAATACAAATTGATTCAAACTCCATATATCAAACTAAGTTTGATTTTTTAACAGAAAAGCAAAGTATTACTGGAAATATTTATAATCAGATGAATGGGACATCTTAAACTTTTATTTAGTTAGCATGTTTATGGATGATAGTTACTTATTGCTTATGTGAATCCCACATACATTTTATCCCCATTTAAAATTTTTTTATATATAATTTGCTGAGTTTTAGTAAATATATACAGTTGCACAACCAACATTACAATCCAGTTTTAGAATCCTTCAATTATCCCAAAAAGTGTTCTCAATTTCTCTTGTACACACATAGTCAATCTAGAGTTTTACTCTATCCCCAGGCAACCATGGATCTGTTTTCTGTCTCTATATATCTGCCTTCAATTTTCATGTAAATTGAATCCTACAATATGTGGTCTTTCTGAGTCTGGCTTCTTTCAATTCATTTTTGAGATTCGCCCACATTGTTGCATATATCAGTATTTTGGTTTTTTTCTTTTTCTTTTTTTTTTTTTTTTTAGATGAAGTCTCTCTCTGTCACTCAGGCTGGAGTGCAATGGCACCATCTCAGCTCACTGCAGCCTCCACCTCCTGGGTTCAAATGATTCTCCTGCCTTGGGCTCCCAAATATCTGGGATTACATGTGCCCCCCACCATGCCCAGCTAATTTTTGTATTTTTAGTAGAGATGGGGTTTCACCATGTTGGCCAGGCTTTTCTTGAACTCCTGACCTTGTGATCTAACCCGCCTCAGCCTCCTGAAGTGCTGGGATTACAGGTGTGAGCCACTGCGCCCAGCCAGTTTGTTTCTTTTCATTGCTGAGCAGTTGTCTACTGTTTGTAACACATAACAATCTTTGTTTTTAAGAGAGAGTTGGTCCACGTTTCGAGTCTTGGTAATCAAGAGTATCTAGTCAAAATTCAATGACATTGTTTAGGTTTTATCTTATTATTTTCAGGGCATTTTCTTTTTTATATTATTATATATTTTATTGCATTTTAGGTTTTGGGGTACATGTGAAGAACATGCAAGATTGTTGCATAGGTATATACATGGCAATGTGGTTTACTGCCTTCCTCCCCATCACCTACATCTGATATTTCTCCCCATGTTATCCCTCCCCAACTCCCCACCCCCACTGTCCCTCCTGTAGTTCCCCCCCACAGACCCCAGTGAGTGATGCTCCCCGTCCTGTGTCCATGTGTTCTCATTGTTCATCACACGCCTATGAGTGAGAACATGCAGTGTTTGATTTTCTGTTTTTGTGTCAGTTTGCTGAGAATGATGGTTTCCAGGTTCATCCATGTACCTACAAAGGACACGAACATCGTTTTTTATGGCTGCATAGTATTCCATGGTGTATATATGCCACATTTTCCCTGTCCAGTCTATCATCGATGGGCATTTGGATTGGTTCCAAGTCTTTGCTGTAGATTTTTTGATATGGTGGTCTCCATAATGAGTTGATTGGAATGGAAGGATTTTTTGTAGTAATGTCTCTCAATTTTTTCAACTCTGTAAAGTTCTATGGTAAAATTACAGCAGTTGTTTATCAAGTATTATTTTTAACAATGTGTCAGCTAAGTCAGTTGTATTTCCCTCTTTTAAGGTTGATGAAGGAGAATTGGATAAATACATTCATGTAAATAGATTTGTTACCTAGACATTTTCGGCACTTACTTTATCAATATCAACACCAATGTTTTTCGTTGTCCCAGAGATGTTTCTACTCCACAGCAGTGCATCAGCATTAAATTAAGGTGGGGCACTGTTTACAATAGCAAAGATCTGGAACCAACCCAAATGCCCATCAGTGATAGACTGGATAAAGAAAATGTGGCACATACACATCATGGCAGCCATAAAAAAGGTTGAGTTCACATCCTTTATAGGGATATGGATGAATCTGGAAACTGTTATTCTCAGCAAACTGACACAAGAACAGAGAACCAAACACTGCATGTTCTCACTCATAGGCGGACGTTGAACAATGAGAACACATGGGCACAGGGAGGGAAACATCACATACTGGGGTCTGTTGGGGGATGGGGGGCTAGGGAAGGGACACTGGGGGGTGGGGAGGTTGGGGAGGGATAACACTGAGAGAAATGCCGAATGTAGGTGACGGGGGGATGGAGCAGCAAACCATCATGGCATGTGTGTACCTATGCAACAGTCTTGCAAGATCTGCTCATGTACCGCAGAACTTGAAAGCACAATTTTAAAAGAAAGCGTAGAAGACTAATAAGGTCACTCAGAATGACACATAATTTTGTAACAACTTTATTGAGGTATAATTGGCATACAATAAACTGCATATATCTATAGGTTATATGTTGATAAGTTTTACATATGTGTATACTCATGAAACCATTGCCACAATAATAATAATAAGCATATTTATTACTCCCCCAAAAGAAAGAAAAGATGATATCTATTTCTCCTTTGTATAAAGAAATGGGAGAGGAATTGTGAAAAGTGGGCTGAGAAAACAAAATATGCACAGACCTCTTTGTTATCTTTGTATCAGCAGATACGCTTAATGAGATAGTAAAATGGGAAGATGCCTTTATACCATTGGAAGGTATTTGCTTACCTATTAGGGCATCCCTGAGCTTGACGACCTCTCATACTTAGCCTTGTTGTGTTTGTCATTCTCTTCTTTTCTAGCAATTCCTTATGCTATGGTCATTATATAGGTACCTTCCTCTAATAGCTGACTAGATACTCTGTTGTCCTCAGAGGTCAACTGTCTTTATATGCTGTGGCATGTGTAAGGTTTATTGCTGAGGTAAAAAGAGGAAACTGAGGCAAGTATGAGAAAATGAGAAGCTAATTTATTCGGCTCCTGGGCGAGGTTCTGTGGTCCAGGAAGGGGCCAAAGAAGTCGCTCCTGGTTGTTTATGGCGTGGGGTTTTATGGGGAGGGAAGGCAATTGATTGGCTATTGGGGAAACAAAGTGAAGGGAGTTCTATTGGCTGTTGAGAAGCAGGAAGTACATGGAGCTAGTTGCCATTGGTAGGCGGGTGGGACCTTGGGTAAGTGGGCCGGTTGGGGGCGTACGGGGCAGACTGCTACCAGGCAAGGTTTGGTGGGGCTTCTTTAAAAATTTTTCTGCAGGGTTTTTCAACAGCGGGCTGGGGGTTGGATGCATAGTTTAGTGCTGAGTGTGGGCTTGGGTATGGTATGTAGAGGCAGGTGTGGGGAAGCCATATGGCGAGGCCAGATAATGAGCTTGGGTGATGAAGTAGTTATCAGGCGTGGAGAGTAATGGATGTGTCCGTTTGACTCCCGGCGAGGCAACCGGCCTTACAGCATGTATGAAACCAAAACAAGTTTTCAAGATTTTCATACAAGAGGAAGAGAAACTAACAGAAGATGCAGAGAAATTGTTACATATTACCAAACTCTTAACACTGAAGTAGTCTCTGTCTCTCTTTTTCTCCCTCTCTGTGTGAAGTGTGAAGATTCCCAAGAAATTATTCTTAAGACCTTTTGCTACATCCAAAGTAGGATAATATACTTAGGAGTGCTTTTTAACCATGAATGTCTAGCCAAGTAGAAATGTATGTAACCTTATGAGGTGTATATATAAGATGATAATGGATTTTTAAAAACGTATATGAATACATGCTACAAATATGCTACAGTGAATTTTTTAGAAACACTTATGAAAAATAAATTGTATCATTTTGTACTTAGATCTTGTTTCAGACCCTAGATGGTATGTTATAGCATCACTGCATTCTTTTATTTCATAAAAGATTTGAAAACATTCAAACTATTTATTTGGGATGGCATACCATGCACTTAGATGCACAAAGTTTTATTTCTTTGTTAAAATGTAACCCATTACTTTGTTTTCATTTCTTTATTTCATAATTCCTTTTATTGACAAATATGCCACCAGTAGACCAGTAAAGAAACTGAAATGTCTTTTAAGGAGTTATGTGCCCATCTATATTCCCCTACATATTTAACTATAAGGCTGTTATGATTGTTAAATTAATTATGTGGCCTTCTTTTCTCCTCCCTAGGTTGATTCCATCCTGCAAACTGACAATTGAATCCGTAGTTGATTTTGGCACATTGGTTGCGAATAGTAAAGTATATTGTAAAGAGATTACTATCTCTAATCATGGCAAAGTTCCAGGTAAATACTTCCTGTAATATTTACCTATACTTTTAGAAGAGTTGGCATTATTTGAAATGTATACTTTGTGAAATAGATTACCTAATTTAACTGAAAAAAAACTCTATCATTTGAAATAGCTCAAAACCAAAGGTCCTAAATAGCATTACTGTAAAAGACTGATAGGCAACAATTCAAGAAAAATTAACCTTCCTCTTTATGATCCTGATTAATACAGTAAGACTCTCAAATGACTGCTGATGTCCCTCAGGATAGGAGGCAGGATAGTGTCAGAGAAATTACATGGTTCAGAGACAGAATTAGAGCACAGTGTTTATTAGTTGTGTGATTTGGGGCAAGTGTTTTTAAGAATTTTGAACTTTAGATTTCTCATTTATAAATTGCGGCTGATAAAATGTACGATGGTGAATTATGTACACACTTTGAATTGTGGTATGTCACTTGGCTCATCATAGATGCCTAATAAATATATTTGCCCTCTTTCTCAATCATATTCAACTTTGAATTAACATCAAGCTCCCCAGAAGGCTTTTGTTAATTTTTTTGTTGAAAGAATAAATGCTTCTCTCTTCTCCAGATTGACTTTTTTCCGGGGATTCTTACTGTGAACTAAGAGAGGGTGTGTGTGTGTCTGTATGTCTGTACATTCATGTATACTTTAATTTGATAGCATACAGTAAGCATAGGAGCACTTATCCCTTCAGTGTCCTGATTCGATGGACCCTTCATCTCAGCTGTCTATAGCTGTGGGAACTCTTATAAGTTTTATGTGCCCCCCAAGTCTTACCAGCGAGCAAATCTATAGGTCTGTTTTCCATGGCTTATTGGCAAAAGTTGACATAGTTGGCCACTGCCACTTTCTTGGGAAAACAAAACAAAAACAATTCAAACTCCTTTGGCTTCTGTGACCACTCACTCTCTTATATAGAATACTAATTAATAACTCAGGCCCTGAAGTGAAGTTGAACAGGGCCCAAATCTTAGTTGCATCATTTACTATCTGGGAGGCCCTGGACAAGGAGTTTGGACTTCCCAGACATCCATTCTGTCACTTACAGATTAGAGATAAGATAGTACCTTTCTCCTCTAATGGTGGTGGTGATTAATAAAATGCTTAGCACACCCCCTGGCATATATTAACTTTTCAGTAAATATTAGCTATTTATGTTATAATTATTATTTTTTGATCACCTCTCCCACCTTCAATTCTCTTCTAGACTGGTGTTCCTTTCTGTGGTATATTAAATGTGAATGTTTCCTACAGTTTGCCGTAGACTCTTATGTCTCTTCAGTCAAGAAGCTCTTCTTAGTCCATCACTTCCTTTCCTTTTATTTCAGTGACTTTTCCCAGGTCTATACCACCCTTTGGATATATTTCAGTTTTCTCAAACTTAACAGCTTCCCCAATACTTCTTTTTTCTTTTTCAATGAATGTTACCACTATGTATTTGGACATTTCAGAAACTTGGCAACATTTTCAACACCTCTCCCTTTTTCACTTCCTACCCCATTGGTCAATTAGTAAATCTTATCTGTTCACTTCATAATTAAGCCAGTAATCCTACTTGTGTTTGCCCAGTGCTACTTTTTTTTTTTTTTTTTACAAAAAGCCATGATCTTCCCTTGCCAACCTAAATTATTTTCCTGACATTACTTCCTTTTATTTTATTTCCCACATATATGCCAGTGCCATATCTGAGAATAAATGAAAATTTGATCACAAACATTCCATTTGTAACATTCTTTTTTTTTGAGATGAAGTCTCGTTCTGTTGCCCTGCCCAGGCCGGAGTGCAGTGGCGTGATCTCTGCTCACTGCAACCTCCGCCTCTCGGGCTCAAACGATTCTCCTGCCTCAGCGTCCATAGTAGCTGGGAATATAGGCATGTGCCACCATGCCTGGCTAATTTTTGTGTTTTCAGTAGAGACGGGGTTACACCATGTTTGCCAGGTTGGTCTTGAACTCCTGATCTCGAGTGATCTGCCTACCTCAGCCTCCCAAACTACTGGGATTACAAGCATGAGCCACCGTCCTGGCCAATATTCTTTTTGTTAATAACTCTCTTCTCTTAGGATGATGTTCTTGCTTCTGTTGTTAGCAATTTAAAAAGCCAAACAAATAGTTTTTGTATTAAAGTTAAATAAGATATGGTAATTTTGACATACCTGCAATTTAAACGTACTTGGAAAATTAAACAATATTATTTTGTATTTTGTGTTGCTTCTGAATAAGTTTTTGAAATATTCACTTAAACTCTTTTGTCAGATTATGTCTAAATGGTTACAATATAGGAAACTTTAACTGACTCAGCCTTAACTAAATTTATATACCATTTTTTTTTTCTTACAGAATTGAGTCAATAATACCTATTTATTTGAAATGGACATAATTTTATAGATTTTTTACTTATGATAGAAAATTAACTTTAAATATTATGTTATTAGCACATCTATAAAATGATTGACTTAACCAATGTTGTTAGTTACTTTGTGTTTTCAAATATTGTCTTTTTTATATTTTCATTACTTTTGTTGTGCTAACATTTTGTTTCCCTAAATTAAATGAATACTTTTGGAAAATGTCATCAGATGTGATTTAAAACTGGTGAATTCAGAATTTGCAAAACTGTTTATTTTCGCAGCATGCTCATTCATGTTATAATGATAATAAAGAGACTAGTGATTGGCTGCTTCTATTTTTTGGCCATATTTTAAGTACTGCTTAGTGGTAAGCAGTGTGTAGGGCATGGTGACCGCAGACATAAAAAAGAGATTGTATCTGATTTCAAAGACTGCATGCACTAATATAGGCATAAAACATTACCATAAATTATGAGCCATTTCTGCTTTCAGAATAAGAAACTTTGTAGCCTTTTTCTCATATGTGATTTGATTTCAGAAACTCATCTTTGCCCTTATCCTATGTGAACTGGTTAAATTCATCTCCTGGGGAGTGGTGGTAACTATAAGTATGAAACTGTGGTCAGAAATATCCAAGTGAAAGTCTCATCTTCATTAGTTACTAACTGTAGTAGTTATTGCTGTATAACAAATCACCCTAAAATATTTTCAAACAGCAATTATTTTTTAATTGGTCGCGTGGTCATGTGTATGCAAATTGGCTGGAACTTGGCTGATCTAGGCTGAGCTCAGCTGGGTGCTCTGCTTCAATCTGAGGCAGCTGGGCCTGTTCTGTTTCTCCCTGCAGGTCTGTGGGTCAGCTGGGTGGCTCTGCCCCACATTTACTCATTCTAGGATATGGACCAAAAGGACAGCAGTTACTCAGGAGAAAACTTTCCAAAGTCAAGGGGCTTGATCATGAAATTTGCTTTGGCCAATTACATGTAGGTTGATTGACAGCATGCCAGTTCCAACCTAGATGCACTTCTACCATGGGAAGTGGGAAGTGTTTCTCCTGAGTAATTGCTGTCCTTTTGGCCCATGACCTAGAATGAGCAAATGTGGAGCAGAGCCAACCTGCTGACCCACAGCCCTGCACTGAGAAACTCTGGAACAATAGGGTAAAGATACAAATGTGGAAAAAGGTGAAGAATTGTGCTCAACAAGCTAATCTACCATAGCAGTTGTGTGACTTTGAACAAGTCATTCAACATTTCAAAGCTTCTATTTTCTTATTTGCAAAATGGAGGTAATGATTGAAACTATTATATCATAGATTATATATGGAAATTAAATAACATGCAGAGCTCTTAACATAAGTGTCTGAATGTAGTAAGCAGATAATACATTTTAACTATTGGTGAGAGTTGAGTTCTAACAACAGGATCATATTTGTTGGGTGACCTTAGAGACTGGATTTACAATTAAAGCCTTAGTTCTATGTACACTGTAG